TTTAAATTCACTTAACATGCTAGTTATAAGTATAATTATGGTGAACATGTTAGTTGTAGATAAAATTATATCTTCTTAAATTAATTGAGTTCGGTGTATGAGGACCGTCGTTACCAACGAGACTCAATAGAAATGTTAAGTGCGAAATTATGATTATGTGTTGCTTTGGTTGTAGTTTCCATTTTGCATGATATATGTTATTTTGTCACGGGAGTGAAAAATAAACCAAGGTCCAGGTCGATAGCACAAGATCTTGAGGAATAAATCAGATAGTGGAAACTAGACAATGATCCTAAAAATAGCGAGAGCATTTTAGGAATTGTTTAGAATCTTATTGACTTTCAAAACACGGTTTTTAATTGAAACGGGTGAGCGAGAGTAAAATCCTTTGGTTAGGAAGCATGATTCTTGTCAATTGTGCGAGAGTGTGAGACAGAGTCTTTAAGTCGATATTTTCTACGAAACTAGATTTACTCGTAACTAGCATCTGAATTCTACAAGTCCCTTAGGAACGCGAAATTCATATTCTAGACTCGTTCCTTCATCGTTTTCAAACCTTCAACAATTAGTATTTTTATTCCCATTCTTTTCCTTTTAACCCTTAGCTTTAGATTTGCGCAGTGATAATAGATAACATTAGTTTGATTATCAATCCATGTGGGTTCGACAACCTTTTAAAACTAAACGAACAACTGTATACTTGCAATTATTATCCGATAGACACGTCAGTGTCACATGGTTAATTATCACAAATTAAATTCAATTTTTAAGACGGGAACAACCACATTCTTTGAGGATATTGAGTTTGGGGAAAAAAAATAAGGTTAGAGACTTTGTTTTAGAGGAATAATCGATAACAATTCCAGAACTAATTCATATAGTTGCTTTTCATTAAACAAGCATTAAACCTGCATAAGACATTGTTGCAATTCCTTAAACTCAAGATGAATTGGTAATTCATGAAGAACAAACTCAAAATCCTCAAGAAAAAGTGTTACAAGAATCAATACCTTTGTGGAGATCCACTAGATAAAAGAGAAATGCTATTCTGGATATTTACATAGTCTTTCTCCAAGAACATGAGGAAAATAATGGTATGCTGAAAGATGATCCAATCAACTTCCGTCAATTTATGCAGGATTCCAACTCGGAAAAGTGGATTGAAACAATGAAGGAGGAGTATAAGTCCATGCAAGACAATAAAGTTTAGGAACTTGTCCCATTACCAGAAGGTGTGAAATCCATTGGTTGCAAATGGGGTTTTAAGACCAAACGTGATTCTAACAATAATGTGGAGAGGTATAAGGCTCGTCTTGTGGCTAAGGGCAATACTCAAAAGGAGGGATTGACTTTAAAGATACCTTCTCTCCTGTTTCATCGAAAGAATCTTTTAGGACAATCATGACTCTTGTTGCACATTATGATTTGGAACTCCATCAAATGGATGTCAAGACACCTTTCCTCAAAGGCAACGTTGATGAAACAATCTATATGATGCAACCAGAAAACTTTGTGTTAGGAGACTAAAAAATATGGTTTGCAAATTGACAAAATCCATTTATGGACTAAAGTAGGTCTCGTCAGTGGTATCACAAGTTTCATGAAGTAATTCTCTCATTTGGTTTTGAGGTGAATTTTATTGAAGATTGTGTGTATCACAAATTCAGTGGGAGCAAGTACATTTTCTTAGTCTTGTATATAGATGACATACTGTTTGCCACAAATGATATATGAATGATGCACAAAACTAAGAAATTTTGAAATGAAAGATCTTGGTTATGCCTCCTTTGTATTAGGAATTCAGATACATCGAGATCGATATCGTGGTATTCTAGGATTATCACAAATAAGCTATATCGAGAAGGTACTTAAAAGGTTTGGCATGCTGAAATATAAATTAGGAGATACTCCAATTGCTAAGGGATACAAATTCAGCCTCAGTCAGTGCCCAAAAGGAAACTTAGAAACAATCTATATGATGCAACCAGAAAACTTTGTGTTAGAAGACTAAAAAAATATGGTTTGCAAATTGACAAAATCCATTTATGGACTAAAGCAGGTCTCGTCAGTGGTATCACAAGTTTCATGAAGTAATTCTCTCATTTGGTTTTGAGGTGAATGTTGTTGAAGATTGTGTGTATCATAAATTTAGTGGGAGAAAGTACATTTTCTTGGTCTTGTATGTAGATGACATACTGTTTGCCACAAATGATATATGAATGATGCACAAAACTAAGAAATTTTGAAATGAAAGATCTTGGTTATGCCTCCTTTGTATTAGGAATTCAGATACATCGAGATCGATCTCGTGGTATTCTAGGATTATCACAAATAAGCTATATCGAGAAGGTACTTAAAAGGTTTGGCATGCAGGAATGTAAATTAGGAGATACTCCAATTGCTAAGGGAGACAAATTCATTCTCAGTCAGTGCCCAAAAGGAAACTTAGAAATTCAAGAAATGTAAAAAATTCCTTATGCGTCAGTAGTAGGGAGTCTGATGTATGATCAAGTGCGCACGCGTCCGAATATTGCGATCATAGTTGGGATGTTAGAAAGATATTTGAGAAATCTAGGAATAAATCATTGAAAAGCAACCAAAAAGGTTATGAGGTATTTAAAGAGAACAAAAGACTATATGGTTACATATAGAAGTTCAGACCAGTTAGAGATCACTGGATACTCTGAATCAGATTTTGCTGGATGCCAAGACAGTAAAAGATCCACTTCAGGCTATATTTACATATTGGCTGGTGGTGCAGTTTCTTGACACAGTGCTAAGCAAACTCTTACGGCTTTATCCACAATGGCAGCATAGTTTATAGCATGTTATGAGGCATCCAACCACGAGATTTGGCTGAGGAATCTTGTCACTAGGCTGCGAATTGTGGAAAGAATTGAAAGGCCACTTAAGTTTTACTGTGACAACAAATCAATCGTCTTGTATTCCAACAATAATAGGAGCTCGACTAAGTCAAAACAAATTGACATCAAGTTCCTAGTTGTTAAGAAAAGGGTACAAAGTTGACAGATTTCCATAGAACACTTGGGGACAAACTCCATGATAGCAGATCCTCTTACAAAAGGTCTTCCATCCAAGGTCTTTCATGAGCACACTGCTCGCATAGATATTTTATCGTTAGAGGAGTCTTTGGTTTAGTAGGATTTAGTCGATTATGAATTTTGTGTTTGGTCTTATGTATGCATACTATGATTTTGGATATTTTTAAATTAATAAATTTTGATATTTAGTAGTTTACATTTTGTACAATAAATTTATTGAATGATCTCACTACAGTAAACTAGGACCAGTTGAAAATCGACATATAAAGACCAACTTCATGTGATTTTCATGCTACACATTTCATGATTGATCTATGTCATTTAGTTGTGTCACTGTCGGTGACCATTGATGAGTTTAGTTATGATTGATATGATGAAAATCACCTAGATTTTGTATATTGGCAAGACTAATTGACGAGATACTTTGGATATGCTTAAAGAATATAATGGCAAATTTTGAGCTCATAAAGTCTAACACATGTGTAAAGTTACATATGTGACCAGTGAGAGATTGTTAGAATTTTGGGTCACAAATGTAACATTTAAGGTGTTAGTGTCATTATTTTAATTAGTACTAAGAAATAACCCTAAGGTTATTTAAATGGATTATGGTCCCTCATTTGTAGAATAAGAACAAAATAAGGTTTATGAAGTTTTCTCTCTTTATCTCCATCAGAGGAGATTCAAAGAAATCTATAAATCAGAAGATCACATACCCGGAAACTTCAACAATTTCAATGACTATTTCAAGTACACTTCCGCCCTCATTTTCATAATGGTACTTGGATATGGGTTTAAGGGATACAAGTTGCTATATCGACTTTCTAACACTAATCACACCAATAACATATAGGGAAGAAACCTCATTACGAATATAAGATTCTATTTTAAACCTTATAAGAATATTCATGCATGTTAATCATGAAGTCAATCTTTAGGTTGATACTCTTGTAAAGTAAGAAATCCATCAATTTAGAGACATTTGTCTGTTTAACTCGTGCCCAACGCACACTTGTTTGAGGGTGATTTAACATGCTTCTCAGTTGCTAAAAATTTTTTGGTGTAATTTTTTTTTGGGCTTAGACTCTCCATTTTATATATAAAGAAAATTCATGTTGATGGAAGTATTAATGGTTAATTTCTCATATTGTTAGACAATATTTAGAGTGCTGCATATAAATATTATTTATATGGTTAACATCTCATATAATATTAGACAATATAAGAACTATTAAATTTTATGTGCATAAATTATGAAAATACTTAGGACCGGTGTTTTCCCATAAGTACGGTAATACAGGGTCTCAAATTTTAAAGGGGTGCAGCAAGGACGACGGGGCCTCAAATTTTAAAGGGTCTAAATTTTTTTTTAATTAAACAACACATTTTACACTTATATAAATATGTGTAAAATTATAATTTGTTTTCAAACGCTGTGATTTTATATCAATTTTTTTTAAAACAGATGCAAAATCATGATTTAAAAATTGTATTTTTTAAATTTAAATTTATTTTAAAGATTAGAGCTGAGCCTCCGGATTCATTGGAGCGGCCTTGAAAATACTATTAAATTTTATGTACAAAAATTTAAATTTAAAATTTATAAAAACACTATTAAATAAAACAGAAATAATGAAAATACTTTCATTTAATAAATTGATGTTTTGTTATGCCCTTTAACAACACCGACTTTGGCTGTTGAAGGCAATTAAAAAATCATTGCAATGTAATTATATTTTATATTCTATTATCATCAAAACAATTTGGATCTTGAGTCTACTTTTTTTACACTTTTTATTTCTTTCTTTTCAAGGTTATAAAAAAATTACATATCCACAATACACATCAACATTATTATATTATCACCACCAAATCAATATAAAACCACAAAAATAAAATAAAACACCACACAATCATATACTCTGAACCATGCATGCACTACCTCCCTTGCTGATGTTGCGGTGGCAAAAAGGCAGCGATGTTATACATGGCCGTCGGTATAAGTCCACCACAATGCCTAATCATTTCTTCCTTAAGCTCGCTAATATCCTTTTCAGTCATTGCCCTTGTCGCTGCATCTTGTCTTTCCATTTCACTTTCTAGCAATGCTATCTGCTTCAAAAGGCTTTTCACCTATTGTTCATTTTAACATACATCAGACACCAGACACTACATCGACATGGACTCAGACAGTTGAATGTAATCACATCTGTCAGTGCTAAATGTCTGACACTACATACCTTTCTGTGAGGCCATCTTGTTAATCCTGCTTTTCGACATGTTTTCTTGAGAACCGTTGGACACAAGTCCACTTTTTCCGATGCTTCCTCAATAGGTAGATGGAAATGGTTGCATAAATCACTCAATGTCAATTTTCCCGCTCTTTTTCTTTGTTCCGATAGGTCCTTTTTATCAACTGATGTGGTAGGGGTTCCATTCTCGCATTGCTCTTGTTCTACCATCTCATCTATAAACATAATAATAATCATTCAAACTCAGTTAAAGGATACTAATAACAAAGAATTTACCATTAAATTAGTAGCACTTTTTTTTTTTTTTTCATTTTCCATTTCCGGGACAAACCTGAATTATTTTGATTATTATTATCAAGACCCTCCATGTTAAAATCTTCAATCCAATCCAATCCAGTGCAAAGAGTCTCGTAATAGGATGACAAGGGATCTTGTAGAATAAAATATCCTGCTAAAATACGATCCATGCAGTATTGCGCCAGAAATTTCTTTATTTCATCAAGATTTCTCATGCTAAAACTGATGAAAATATTTTGATTATTTAAATTTTTTCATGACATGCAGTAAATAATTAAAAAAATAATAAAAAATGTGCTAGTACTACTATAAGAGTTAGAACATACTCAATCATTTGGTTAATTGGTGGATTTCCATTAACAGGTGTCTGATGATGAATTGCATGTGTAATCAAACCTAGCCTTCCATGAATCTCAAGCTTTTCAAACTGAACACCTATTCATTCACCATAAAAAAACATGTATAATCAATTAATAGAATGATACATAAATTAATTATGAGTACACTGTATATCTATACCGATAATAATTTTAAAAAAATAATAAATTCAACAAAATCATAAATGTCATGTTAGTTTTAGACATCGACACAGACACATTTTTTCAGAGGTGTTGATGTTAAAGTCGTATTGATATATGAATAAAGGCTAACTAACCATTCGCATGTATGATTTCTCTGAGAACTTGACAACAACTGCAAAAATATGGGATTGGTGCGGGTGGCCATTGATCAAGTGTCATTGCATCGGTTTGGTTCGGCAAAACCGGAATCTGATTTACCGGTTGAGTTTGTTGATCCTCATGCATTTGTTGTGGCATTCCATCGAAAAATGAATCACTAACACTATCGTGGTGATTTTCTTGAGACATTGTAGTGTAATCAAATGGATCACTATTAGTATCACTACCATGGTGATTTTGTTGGAATAGTGGAGAGGGAAAATGATCATTAAAGTTAGTACCATGTTCCTGTTGAAATACACCATGGTGATTCTGGTGGGGCAGATTATTGTTATTAATGGATAAATTGGTTAGATTTTGTTGAAACATTGAAGTGTGTTCATTGTTAATGTCAATGTTGTTAATGGCGCCTAAATCGTCTAATATAGGGTTACTCATAGTGAAGAAACTTGGATCAATGGAACATTCATAGGGGTCATTGAATTGATACGTGAGATCTTCCATGTTTTGAATATTTTTGTTATTATTATTTATGGTGGTGTAAAAAAAACTTAAAAATTATAAAAATGGTGTAATGGTAGTAGCGACGCTAAAAAAGAAAGCGTCGCTACTGAGAAGAGTTTAGAGTTTGAAAAGGAATTCGTTGAATGATGGAGAAAAAAAAAACCGAGAAAAATTGAAATTTTTTTGAGGGAATGTGATGGAAATTATATAAGGGTGAAAGTGGCTGAGTGACCGTTAATAGTAGTTGGAATATGTAAAGCCGTTTCAGTGTAAGGCTTTTGAAAAATCATGACGTTTCAAATTTGATTTTAAAATTTCCATGTAAATGAAAAAGATAAATCCTTGTCCCTTGAGTACCGATTATTCCCCGAGTAAAAATTGCAAAATCAAATCATAACTATTTAATTTAAGATTTCTTTTATGTTTTTTCATAAAAAAATATAAAAAATGTAAAAACATTTTTTATTGATTATTGATTATAGAAAAATCTATGGCATAATATTTACATTGACTCTGGAGAAAAGCAGCCAGAGTAAATTTAACTTAATGTATACTTATTTACTTTAATAAAAGGTTAAAAAATTGACTTTTTTTTTATAATTTAGAATTAAAAAAAAAGTTAAATATGCTTTTAATTTCTGAAAATAAGTTATAATATAATTTTAATCCCTCTAACATTTTTGTTCAAATATTTGTCCTTCAAAACTTTTTCGTCTCTATTTTTCATCTGTGACGTCTATTACACTTGACTGAATTTTATGTGGCGGATGAGTTGACATTTTTTATTTATTAATTTTGAGTATATGAATGGATGATTAAGCGCATGCTGCCGAAGGATGTTATGTGCTAACTAAATTCCTTTATTAGTTTAGTAAATACATAGCACCAGAAACCCTAAATCACTTTCACGCCCAAAATTGACTCTCATTCTCGTTCCTTCGCTTACTCCATAGAAGGTAATTTTTGAATTCAACTCCATTCTTCTTCAACTTCTTGTGTTTGCTTTGTGGAACATAGTATCAGTGACACATTGCATTTTTTTTACTTTGTTTGCAGAAAGTTGACTCCATTATCATTGTGTTAGGTTTGCTTTGTGGTCCCAACATTTGCATGAAAGGTGCTCGATTTGTGGTCCCTCGACATTGGAACTGAGGTAGGTCTACATGTTCCCTTTAAATTCTAATTTATTAAAGTTTGGCATAGTGATCGTATTTTACTGGTAGTTATTAGATTATTAGGGTTTGTATGCATACAATAGTCATTTAGTGGGTCTATGTTTGACTGTATTTTCCATCCATTATGTAGGGATGGGTGTTTTTAAAGTAATATTTTACACGAAGGACTCTTTTGTAAAAGACCCAATGCTAATGTATGAGGGTGGGGAAGTTTATGCCTTTAATGGTCAAGATAGAGAGTCATGGTCATTTTTAAAGCATGTGATTTAATTAAGGGAATGGATCATGGGTTTGAGTACAATAATGTTAAGATGTGGTGGAAACATGGCGATGGTACTTTAGAAAATGACGTAAAACCTTTTAGGGATGATGGTGATGCATTTGTTTAGCTGCATTCATTCAAACAAGTCAACAAGGTGAGGTTGAAATATACACTGAGCCTAAACCTAATATAGGGAATGCAACCTTTATGGAGAATGCAAGAAAGAGGAACAAGGTTAAAATATGTGAAGATGAGTTTGATTCAAATACTGATGAGAGTTCTAGCGATGAAGATGTGAAGGATGCCAAATTTGAGGATAGTGAAGAAGAAAGGATGAAGGGTTTTGATGAGGTTTTTGATGAGAAATTTGATAGTCAACTTAGAAATATACCTGTTGCGGATGTAGCAGGCTCTAGTGAGGCAGTGAGAACAACTCTTATTACACCAGAGATGGGAAAGGAACATGTAATTAAAGATGAGTATCTTACTGATGAGCTTGATAGTGGTGCTGAAGATGATAATGGTGATGATAGGCCAAGAGTTTTTAGGTTCAATGAGGAAGATAGGATTACAAAGTAATATAAATTCAAGGTTGGAATGGAGTTTTCATCTCTGAGGCAGTTCAAGAGTGCTATTTTGGAACATAATGTATTGAATGGTAGGGATATCAAATTTGTAAAAGATGATGCAATGAGATATAGGGTGGTTTGCAAGGAAAAATCACAATGCAATTACACTGTACTGTGCAGTAAAGTCCTAAGATCAACAACCTTTAAAATAAAGACCTTATATGATAAACATAAGCGTAGTAGACAAATTTTTAACAAGAGTGCCAAAGCTGATTGGGTTGCAAAAGTGATAGTTGATAGGATGAAGAACAATAACAAAATGAAGTTGAATGATGTAATTGTAGATGTTAGGGTGAGGTATGCAACATAAATCCATGGTTGTAGGACATTTAAGGCAAGACAGATTGCCAAAAAGATAGTGGAGGGAGACTCTAGTAAACAATATAGTTTGTTATGGTCATATAAGGCTGAATTGAGGAAGGCTTCACAAGGAAATACTTTCAAAATGAACACTCAATCTCCTGGTCCATGTTTACTACCAAGGTTTGAAAGGTGTTACGTGGCCTTTGATGGTACAAAGAAAGCTTTGAAATTAGCTTGTAGGCCATTTATTGGATTAGATGGATGTCATCTAAAACACAAGTATGGTGGGATATTGTTAATAGCTGTGAGAAGAGACCCTAATGACCAATATTTACCAATTGCCTTTGGAGTGGTAGAAACTGAGTCGAAGGAGAGTTGGAGTTGGTTTATGCAGTTACTCCTTGAAGACATTGGTGAAAAAAGGTGGTGTTTCATATCTGACCAACAAAAGGCAAGTACACTTCTAATTTTGTTTGGTTTTTTAGATGTTTGTTACTTGCATTACTTCCATTTCTTAAACTGTTGTTTATACTGTTTGGTTTTTTCAAGGTCTTGTACAGGTGTTGAGGAGCAATACCCAGCTTTTGAACACAAATTTTGTGTTAGGCATATGTATGCTAACTTTAAAAAACGGTTTGGAGGTGGTACCCTATTTAGGGATCTAATGATGGTTGTAGCAAAGGCAACCTACCTTGAGGCTCATGAACAATACATGCAGAAGATCAAGGAAGTCATCAATGGTACATATGAATGGTTGGAGGCAATTCCTAAAACTAAGTGGTGTAAGCATGCATTTCCTTTGTATTCTAAGTGTGATGTGTTGATGAATAATTTAAGTGAATCCTTTAATGCCACTATCTTGATTCAAAGGACAAACCAATTATAACAATGTTTGAATGGATTAGGTCGTATCTTATAGGTAGGTTTGAAACTTTAAGGCAAAAGGTTAATGGGTATAAGACTAGGATCATGTCAAAACTACTAAAGAGATTGGATAAAGAGATTGAAAAGAGTGCAAGTTGGACAACCACTTATGCTGGACAATTGATATTCCAAGTTACCCATGTCATGTTTACTGATAGCTTTGTGGTTGATTTGGCTAATCAAACATGTTCATGTAATTTTTGGGATCTCATTGGAATTCCATGTAGACATGCAGTTGCTGCAATCCATAGGAAAGTTGATGATCCCATTAATTATGTCCATAAGTGTTATCACAAGTCGACTTATGTCAAATTTTATGAGGAAGGTATCACTCCTTTGAATGGCCAAAATAAGTGGCCCAAAACCAATGATCAAGTAATTTACCCACCCATGTTCAAAAGAGGCCCAAGGAGGCCAAAAAAACATAGAAGAAGGGAACCTGATGAATCCAATGCTACCAAGTGGCAAAGAACTAATACTACTTATAGGTGTAAGACATGTTTGGAGTATGGTCATAACACTAGGACATGTAAGAAGAACAAACAAATTATTCTACACAAGAACCAAGATGTAACAACAAATAAGGTACCTACACAGACAAGTCAAACTGAGAATGTTCAAAAGGCAACATCAACAAAGGTTAGTCTTGTGGTTTATGGGTAATTGTATATTGTTTGTTCTTGTTTGTATGTTCTGAGTAACTGTGAACAGTTTTTCACTAGAGACCTAATGGGTCATTGAATAAGAAAGTCAAAATGGCACCAAGCAAGGCAGCAAGTAAGGTACAAAGTAAGGCACCAAGCAAGGCACCAAGTAAGGCACAAAGTCAGCCACCAAGTAAGGCTAAGATTGCTCAACCTCAAGTCATAAACTAGATAAATGAGGCACCTAGTCAGGCTTCAGTCCAAGGTTCTCATGCTGCTTAACCACCAACAGATCCAAAACTACATTACCACCACCAAGTCCTCATGCTGATACTGCACCACCACCAACAGATCCACAAACTGCACTATGTAACACCCCCTTTCTATACCCCCAAATAAACAAATAAATCACTTAATCACTTATTGAAATTTCGTCAAAGTAAATTTAAAATATGGTATAAAAGGAGCATGCCACACATACATGAAAATAAATCAGACAACACCTGCTCAAAATGACATGTAACAGTGGGGTAGTTTTGAAATAGAGGACTTGGTCCTTACACCCGCATTTCAATTTTCGAAATATCAGCGGAAGATTAAAACATTAAACCATTTGAAAACATAATATCATAAATATACATATCAAATCAGTTTGTTCATCACATCATCATGGTTTTATAAAACACATTTGCCAACAGATACATATACAATGTATCTCAAAAGAATGCTATACAACCTATCTACCCGTTGCTACATATCAGAGCGACCCGACAAAAGAATGAAGATAAAACTTCACAAAAAGAACCTCCAACAACCTAATCTGCAATGCCTCATAGAGCATTATAAAACAGCAAAAGGGTGAGAAATATTATCGTAATAATCAATGCATATAAATATATATATATACATATACGAAAATAAAGATACAAATATTTCACAATTCTCACCACAAATCATTCATAACTCATTATACATTTCACGACATGTATAAACACATATGAATAATCACAAAACATCTTTCACCAACACACCAATCCATTATTCACAATTCACCAAATCACCA